GCAGTCGTGAATCCGATCCCCAATACTGATAAAAAGGAAAAAGACAAAAATAAATAAATAAATAAATAAATAAATAAATAAATAAATAAAGAATGAGCAGGTGGCCACCAGCTGCTCTGCAGATTAGGCCACAGTTTAAGCTGCAGTGGAAGTGCTACCAGTTAACCAAGCAGGAGATTCTACCCAAGATAGACTTAGACAACATGAGTGCAGAGGGTGTGGGCTGAGTTAGGTCTGACCGTTCATGTAACCTCCCACTTCTCTACTGTAACAGAAAATGCTACCCACCCCCCAGTATACTTTATTTCCTCAGTTGCCCAGTTAATAGTTCCTGTTCCCATTCTGGTAGCTCCTGTCTCTTAGAAATGGTTGATTACTGTGATGCATAGCTAGTCACTATTATGCACATTGTATAAACCAATCCTCATTTGTCAAGCCATTCTGCCTCTGTACTTCCTGCTTGCTTATCGCAGATAAGCTCTAGACCACCAGAGATCAGGGCCTGATATTCTAGAATGATCCTGATCAATGGCCGTCAATGTAAGATAAATCTGCCTCCAAATTCTGGGTGTTGTTTTGGTGTTTCTGTTTGCCATTGCACTGTGATCTGTGGGTCTCTGCAGAAAGGGAACTGGACAGAGAAGATCATCTGGCCCATGGGATCATCATCCCCTGGGACCTTCCAACCAGCATGTAGGGTAGGAAGTTCCCTCTGTTAGGAAGGTAGCATTTATTTGTAAGGAAGGAGAAGGCGATTCTATGGCAACTAATAGAGCTGGGTATGGTGATGCACACCTGAAATCTCAGCACTCAGCTAAGCTGACACAGGGAGACCAAGGGTCACAAGTTTGAACCCAGCCTGGTCAACTTAGCACCTTAGGAAGACACCGTCTCAAAATTTTAAAAAATTTAAAAATCTGAGGATGTGGCTCACTGTGAAGATCCTGGGTTTAGTCCCTAGTACTGCAATAAATAAATAAAAGTGCCCTACTCTCGGAATTCACTTGTCCCTCCAAATTCACTTGCAGATGTCTCACCTGTTGCCTGTCACACTACCTGTCCTCCTCCCTCCACATGATCTGCCTCAGAGTTCAAAAAGGGGACTTGGTGAATACCTAACAGATCCTCAATAGACACCGAGTGAAACTCGGTGAATGTATGGAAGTAAGACCCCCAACAAATCCACAGTGTGAATTTTTTTAAAAAATCAATGACTTTTTCTGGAGCTGAGCATCTACAAATTTGACTGTGGATAATAAATAATAATAAATATTAAAATATTAAAAATTAAAATAAATATCCAAAGTACCAAAGGCCTAAGCTTTAGTGACTTTCATGACCTTAGTGTCCTCTAGAGATAGATTATCTACTCTCCTTCCCAAAGCAAAAAGTCACACAATTTTGTTTGTTTTGGCGCTAGGGATCAAATCTAGAACCTCACACATGCTAAACATACATTCTACCCCAAAGCTACACTCCCAGCTCCATCCATCACTTTTGTTTTTGGCATCTGGAATCGAACTCAGGACCTCATGCTTGCCAGGCAGGCACTGTGCTGCTGAGCTAAATCCCCAGCTCCCATTCAACAGTTTTGAATAACGAACAGAAAGCCAGGCCCAGTGCTATGCAAGATCTTGCAACAAGAAGGACTTAGGTTTGACATGAGGATGGACTTCCTGACCTGGAAAGTAGTTACACACCAAACTGGGTGGCGAGGCATCCCAGGAATCACTGGACTGCTCTTTAGCTTGGCACTCCTGAAGGGTACAGCTTGGTGCACTCAGCCCAGGCATGGAGACTGTAGGTGACTCAGGGAATCTTAAGTGGTGGTTGCTAGGTTACAAGATTCTTTAATGTGCACTCAATGTAAGGACTAAAGGATGTCACCTGCCGGGGAGGAAGAGCCAGGGGGAAGGAAAGGGGGAGATGGACACAAGCCAGGGCTTCCAGAATAAGCAATTAGGGCACAGCCGGGAAGACATCCTGTTCTTAGTACTTTTCCAAGCCCTGAGTCTTTAGACCCCAATGCCTGCATAGAGAACAGTGCCCAGCATAACCTAGGCTAGGACAGGGGCCTTCTCAGGTGCTGAACTCTAATTTCCCTAGGTGTGGACAGTATGGTTAGGTGCTTAATCCCTTTAGGGGTCTGGACTCCTTCTTTCACTGCAGTTGGACAAAAAGCCAAAATCCAGATAAGACTGGAAAGTTTGGTTTATTGGATAATGCTCCATCTTTTTGTTTGCAATTTTATTGTGATAAAGATGGAGGTTGTGAGATTTGGAATTCCCAGACTAGACCCACCCTGAGTGGCTTGCATGGTCTTAAGTAAATCACTTCACTGAGTCTCAGGTTCCTCCTCCATATGTCCACAAACACTGATACCTGCCCTGGAGACCTCTCTTGGGGTCATTTTACTATTAGAAGAAAGCTGCCAGGCACCACGGCACATGTCTGTAAATCCCAGATTCTCAGGACGCTGAGGCAGGAGGTTTGAAAATAAACTCACCTGGGCAATTTGGCAACACCCTGTCTAAAAATCAAGTAAAAAATAGGGCTGGGGATGTAGCTCAGTGCTCCCTGAGTTCAGTTCTCAGGGCTGGTGGGGGAAAAAAGATTATGAGAAAGTGAATGTGCAAGGGCTTAGCTTATGTCACAATCTCAATGGGCAACACAAGCACAGTGGCACGGCTGTTTGTGCACCTGCTGCTAAGTTACCCCAACTGGGTAGGGTGCCAGAGTCCTGGTATCATCACTCCAATGGAAGGTTCAGAGGGCAGGTAGGGCTGAAGCTAGACCCCCAACCAGCCTCTTGGAGGATGGTCTACGATTTTCAACCCAGGCTTCTTCTGTTGTCATTCTAGGCATGTTTATTTTGTAAGTGTTAAAAGTGAAACTAAAAAGCAGTGGAATTATTACGCCAAGAGCTTAATGATTCTACTAGGACTATATTAAGATGAGCATATTGTGAAATGAGACTTCTCTTTCTTCCCAGAAGTTATAGTAGCAGGCGTGGCATGCATAGAGATTTACTAGGCCAGTGGTGGTGAACCTTTGGCACTCATGTCACAGTGCACACACACAGGCCTCTGTCACCTGGTGAACTAAGTCACCCTAACAACCACGCCATTGGGTAACAGGTTTTTTTTCTTAAACTAAATCCTCAGTATTTAGATTTAATTGCAGTGTTGGCACTTTGATAAATAAGTGAGTTTTGAGTTGCAGTTTGTATACTCAGTCTCTAAAAAGTTCACCATCTCTACACCAGATGATGTACTGCGCCCTTGCCTGGTCAGTGTCAGAGGTATGATGAACTCTCGGTTATATACTAACTCATTTAACCTTCACAAAAGCCTGCAAGCCTGTATCCACACCAAGAAATAAAAGGGGATGAACTTTTCATATACACAACCTGAATAAAAGTCCAGGTGGTGATGTGAGGGAGGTGATCCAAGTAAGTTATATATGGTAGTTTCTGTTTGGCTAGCATTCTTGAAGTGAGGAGATTATGGAAACAGAGAAAAGATGACTGGTTGCCATGGGTTGTGGGGGAGGGGAAGAGAGAACCAGGCTGGGTATAAAATGGTGACCCAAGTGATTTTTGGAAATGTTTGGGTCCTAACTGGTCAATTCCAATACTGAGGTTGTGACTTTGTACTATAGTTTTATGCGATGTTATTACTAGGGAAACTGGGTAAAGTGTATTTCTTCCTTATAACCACATGTAAGGAAACTGAAGCCTGAAATGAATGATTTTCAGGGCCAGGATTTAAACCCAGGTCTATGGGCTCCAGAGTCTGAGGGTTTCAAGTTGTAGCCATGCTGGAGGAAGCCAGGTAGTTGGTCAGAGGACCCCGGGCCTTGCCATGCACAGCAAACCAGTGGCCTGCTAGGTCTCAGGCACTTCTGTGACTGAGGACTGCAGTCCTAAAAAGGCTGTTAGGAAGCCTGTGGGTTGGTGCCAAGGTCCAAGATCTGATAATCAGGTCTCGCCTCGATGTGGTGTGCGAAAAAGGTGGTGTTGGGGACTAAGAAAGAGACTGCCTGTCTGTGTTTACAAAGGTTGGTGTCTCAGGTTGTGTGTCCACATGCCCGTGCGTCTGTCCCTTGTTCCCAATATGTCTATTTGAGGGAGGGGAGGAGACTATAAGTCACTCAGATATGGAAGGGCAGGTTGCAGTTGCGCAGGCACCTGCCAGCTCTGTGCTCTGCGCGCATCACTCCCACGGAGCCCGTTTCAATGAGGTTAAAACGAATGATAGACCTCCCCCAAGCAAAGCTAGCTGTCACGAACTGGGTCTGTGTACTGTAGACAAACTGGGTAATTGGGCTCTCCGCCTCCCCATCCAAAACAAACACTCGCAAACGCCCGCCCCCACACTGGAAGGAGTCTGGTACCGTCATCTGGGCCCTTGGCTCCAGCACCCGCTTGCAGACGAGGTGAGCGTCTCCGCCGCCCGGCAGTCCCCAGCCTTCCGGGTCGTGTGGCTCCTGGCACAGGTGTGGCGGCTCCGGGGGAGGCCGTGCGTGGGGAAGGCTCCCAGCCTCCTCTGGGCCGGCCGCTCGGCTTCTCCTTTCTGTTGCTCATTTGTGCTCATCTGCTTGTGTGACAGCAGCGTGCAGACAGGGAAGGACGGAGCGCCCTCTCCCCAGCTCCCCGCGCGGCGGGGCTGGGGATGCAGACGCCCGGAGATGCGCCGTGCGCGCCCTGCCGCCGCTCCGGCCTGGCTGTGTAAGTGGCAGGGGATAGGAGCGCCCAGAGCGGGGTCAGCGAGGCGTTCACTCTGTCCCTTGTTGGGGGACAGCCTAGCGCCAGGAGCACCCACTCTCTCCGGCGGTTTCCGGGCTGGGGGAGGGGAGAAGCAGTGCGTGGCAGGGTGGCACCGCGGGGTGGCGCCTTTCGCAGTCGCGTCTCCCTTTAAAGTTGGAGAGGGACTGCGGAGCCGCCAGACGCGAGGGCTCGTGGCCCCGGCTGCCCTTGATCCGCCCGGTTCCTCCCGCAGGTCGGGAGTGGACGCCGCTGAGACTTGAGGGACAGTGAGGTGCTCGCCGGCGTCGGGGAGGAGCCGGCGCCCCAGAACGAGATGGAAGCGACAGGGGACCCGGGAGCCGGCTCAGAGTAGCCCGCGGATCCCCGGGCTCGAACTCCGCCGGGTGCTGCAGGCGGGCAGGGTCGCCGGCACTGCTATGGAGGTGCCTAGTGTCAAGGACTTCCATTGGAAGCGCCTCGCACCGCTGCCCAGCCGCCGGGTCTACTGCTCCCTGCTGGAGACCGGGGGACAGGTCTATGCTATCGGGGGATGTGATGACAACGGAGTCCCCATGGACTGCTTCGAGGTCTACTCCCCGGAGGCCGACCAGTGGACGGCTTTGCCTCCCCTGCCCACAGCCCGGGCTGGGGTGGCTGTCACCGCCCTAGGGAAGCGGATTATGGTGATCGGCGGCGTGGGCAATAACCAGCTGCCCCTGAAGGTCGTGGAGATGTACAGTATCGATGAGGGCAAGTGGAGGAGGAGGAGCACACTGCGCGAGGCTGCCATGGGCATTTCTGTCACAGCCAAAGGTGAGAGCCTGGGGCTTCGGGTGGGCAGAGAAAAGGGAGCACAACCCATACTGTCAGGAGGGCTCACGATCACATCCTGGTCCCATTTGATCCTAGAAACTTTATTTTACAGGCGGGGAAACTGAGGCCCAGCAAATGAAGTAGCTAGGAATTGCACCTGAGACCAGACAGCCACTCCAGGGCTTTCCTCCCTGACAAGTGGGGCAGACCACTGCCAGAGGGCACTGGCAGGATGTGGGCTGCAGGGTTGGTCCTTGTGTCTGCAGACCCCAGCATCAACTGAATGACAGCACCCCAAGGGACACCCTATCCTTTCAAATCCTCCTGCGGGCGCTATGGCTCCAAACACTGTCTGGGGTCCTGAGAGTGTTCGCTACCTCCTCACACCATCCCTGAGCCTTACTGAGGAGGTTTGATTTTGAGACCTGACTTCAGGCCCTTGTTCCCTCTCCTGTTCTCCTCCCCCTCCCAGTCTCCCAAGTGGAGGCCAGAATGTTCCCGGGGGTTGTGTTTCTGCAGCACCTAGTTGGGGTTCACTGAGTTCCTGGGGAGGCATCATGTGCTGACTGTGTAGTTCTGAGATTCTCACTCTGCTTTCTCAAAGCCCCTCATTTCATTTATTTTGTTAGTACTGAGGACTGAACTCAGGGCCTTTGCACTGAGTTACATTTCCAGGCCTTTTATGAAAACAGTGTTTTCCTAAGTCACTAAATTGCTCAGGCTGGGCTCGAACTGGTGATCCTCCTCCCTCAGCGATCCAGACTAATAGGATCACAGCTCTTTTCACAGGGAAGTGGGAGCGGAGCATCTCTAGCACAGCCCAGAGCATAGAAGGAGGTCTAGAAGCTTTTTTGCAAATGCAAAGATTTTATAGGAAATGGCCCTTGGAAGTTTGGGGACCCACACAAACACCCACACACCCACACACTTTGTATACTTGTCTGGGCAGCACAGGTTGCTGGGACTATGACTCTGTTCTCCTCCTATCTTCATCCTTTGCTTCCACTCTGGCTACACCATCCAGCTACCTTTCAGGCCTGTGGTAGATCGGAAATCAGTAATTAAAACCTGCTCTGTCCTGGCCGTCCTAGGCCCCAATAAGGAGAAAAAGAGGCAGCTCTGGCACTACTTCAGAAGTTTCTCTTTAGTCACCTTCATTGATCAGACCCCTGTACACTTACTTCTAGAGTACAGCAACACAAAACCCAAGAAGGTCAAGTCACAGGCCCAAGGTCACAGCACTAGTAAGTGATGCTCATGCCTCTGCTCCTAACTAATTGTGTTCACTGGTTAACTTAATAAACTTTCACATGCCTGAGTGCCAGCCATGGAACAAGATTCTGGAACTGCAGATCTGTAGATTCTCAAAGATCTGTAATCTAGTGGGAGAAACAAAGATGATTTCAGCAACATGTGGCCAGTGGAGTGATAGAGATGCCATCACTCAGTGATGCTAAACTGGTCCTCAGCCAACTCGAAGTTCAGGGACACCCAGCTGAGTGTGAAACAGTGTGTCAGATTGAGCAAAGAGTTATGGTACTCTCGCAGTGTGGATGGGAGCGTTTCCTGGATGAAGTGTCCCAGGTAGCAGGATGGGAGGAGGAGCTTCTGATAAGTAAGTCATTGATTATCACGCCCATTTCCCAGCCTTGGCTAGGGCTGGATTTTTATTTTATTTTCAGCAAGATTAGAAAGTAAAAGTAATAGTATTCACCCAGCGGTGGGTCCCTGAGAAAGAGAGGGTCCTGCAGAGAGTGAGGGCATGCTGGTGGGGTGCTTTTCCATCCTGTGTCATGCAGTGTGGGTTATGGAGGTCGAAGCAAGGCCTTCAATAGCCAAGAGCAGTAGAGGGAGGAAGGAGCAGAATTCAGGGTGTGTGTGCTTCTGGATCCGAAAGTCTCCTAAACAATGCAAGAGGGTGGCACGCCCCTACCAGGGTGGTAGGAAAAGAGAACCAGAGGTGGCCCAGTGTCTTCCAAGGACAGGAAGTTGACCTTGTGTCTAAAGATCCCTGCTGTTTCTAGAGAATTTCATTTGGGAATTTCTAGGGAACAGGCCATCTCAAAAAGATACATCTGACTGCCCAGGAAGGAGGACAGTGGAGGGAATAAGACTGTAGAGAATGTTCCAGACCTAGACTGGGCCACAGTCTCCCCCTGTGCAGGACTTAGTGCTTTGTACTTAGCCAAGGGCTGGAATCCAAGGAAGGCTCCCTTGGCTCCAGTAAGACTAGGCTGTGCCACAACAAGGACATTGAATGGTGCCATCAAACTTGGCTTGGCCATCATAGGTAATGGGTACTGGTGGTTCTATCTCCTGATGCCTGTAGCTGAGCCAGGAGTGTGTGTGGCCTTTCTCTTAGATTACCGAGTATACGCAGCAGGCGGCATGGGCCTGGACCTCCGCCCACACAACCACCTCCAGCACTATGACATGCTCAAGGACATGTGGGTGTCGCTAGCACCCATGCCAACCCCAAGATATGCTGCCACCTCTTTCCTCCGAGGCTCCAAGATCTACGTGCTGGGTAAGGAGGAGTTACCTGTTGTACATTTATCCCTCCTTTACTCCTTTGGGTTGCTTCCCCTTGGGAGCAGCGCCTCCAAGCCAAGCATCTCCTTGGTGTGACGGATGATCACACCGGCCCAACCTCCTGTGTGAATGGGTAACAGGAGAAGGGGAAACCCAGCCCCTGTGCTCAAGGATTCCTCTTCCATTCACCTCCATCCTGCTCTGGCCTCCAGGGGGACGCCAATCCAAGTATGCGGTCAATGCCTTCGAAGTCTTTGACATCGAGACTCGCTCCTGGACCAAGTTTCCCAACATCCCCTGCAAGCGGGCCTTCTCCAGCTTTGTGACCCTGGACAATCACTTGTACAGCTTGGGAGGCCTACGACAGGGCCGGCTTTACCGGCAGCCCAAGTTCCTGCGAACAATGGATGTGTTTGACATGGAACAGGGTGAGCTGGGAGCCACCCTCTGACCTGCGTTTGCAGGGCTCCCCCGGGGAAGTGCTGGCTGCTTGCCTCCCTTGTGGTTGACCTCCATTTCCCTGCATCCCATTCATGTCCCCAGGGCCACCTACCCAGCTGGTCAAGCCTCTGCAAAGTCTGAACACCCCTCTCCCTCAGGCTACTCGTAAGGTCAATTATTTCATCTGTACAGGGGTCTCTTGCACAGTTTAGTTGTTTTCATCAAAGCCTTTTCTATGTATTATATTCTTACAATATCTGTGCAAGACAAGATCAGAGAGGGTTTTCCTCACTCACCACCTCTATTGGCTTCCTCTGTAGTTTACAGCTAGGAAGGGGATTTATGGCGGGAACTTCGCGGGAACTTCTGTGTTTGGCTCCGCAGTAAACCCAGGACAGGGTGCTGGTTGCAGAGGAGGCCATTGCAAACCAGTAGGGGGCGCTGTGTGTACCTTGAGCACAAAAGCAAATGGAAGGGAACCGCTCCTCAGAGTGAGAAACGGTTAAGGTGCTTGTCTATGCTTGATAGGAAGGTCAGTCCCTAATTCTCTATCTCTGTGGCATGTAGGGGGATGGCTGAAGATGGAACGTTCATTCTTTCTCAAGAAGAGGCGGGCAGACTTTGTGGCCGGCTCTCTGAGTGGACGGGTCATAGTAGCAGGAGGACTTGGTAAGGATGGAACTTTCAGGATGAAACTTCCAGGCTGGAATGTTTGTGGTCCTGGTGCTCAGTGGATCCCTGGCACTTTGCATGAGCATGTATTTGATTAGATGCATTCTTATTCCAAGATAGAATTGAGCATCTAAGGAAAAGAGATGGGTCAGAAGAGATAAAGCCCGGCTCCTCCTCTGGCAACCGCCACGATGCTGGACTCTTTGGTAAACTCTGATTCTCTTGGTGCCCTCAGGGAACCAGCCTACAGTCCTGGAGACAGCTGAAGCCTTCCATCCGGGGAAGAACAAATGGGAGGTCCTCCCCGCCATGCCCACGCCCCGCTGTGCCTGCTCCAGCATCGTGGTTAAGAACTGCCTCCTGGCCGTGGGGGGCGTCAACCAGGGCCTGAGCGACGCTGTGGAAGCTCTGTGTGTCTCTGACTCCTAGCTGTCCAGGGCCCACACCTTGGATCTAAACTGCATCACACCAAATCTTGACATGAGGAACGATCTTAACGAAGCAGTGTGGGTTTCTTGGCAGGCTGCCGGCTGCCAGAGGAGGGGCCGGTGTTATCCTTACCTAGCTCTGAACTAGACTGAGGGCCTTTCGGGATTAGAAACAGAGCAGCCTGGGGAGGGGTTATTCTAAACCTGTAGGCTCTCCTTTGGACTACATCCTTCCTGCCCTGAGCCTCAGCTGCTGAGCAAGAATTGAAACATGAAGTTAGAGGTGAGTGCATCTGGCCAGGTCAAGCCAGCAGCCTTGGCAGGAAGGAATTTTCCTCTTGGGGTTCTTGTTGGGTGTTGCTGGTGGGGAATGAGCAGACGCTGAGCCCTGTGTCTGCTCCCCACTTCTCCCCTCTGTCTGGTCTTTTATCACCCCTTTCCTAGCAGAGGCCCTGCCCTTCTATCCCCAGCGGTATCCACAGTGTTCCTGTGTGAAACCTTCTCCTTTATACTGTGGCACTGGAATCTGCACAGGATGGATTCATTGTACTCTGGTTACTAACAACAGCACAATAATTAAACTCTATATTCCTATCTTCTCTGCGGCCTCATGATGTATAGAGGGGGCCCTATAGGACAATCCCTCTGGTGTTTTATGCTGTTCAAATAGGTCCACCTATCTTTACTGGTCCCTTTGAAGAGGCCCGTCTTCCCACAGCCACCACCAGCCTGTCCCACTCCCAGGAAAACAGCAGATTTCCCTTGTCTTTGTGCCAAGACTCTATGTCTGTGTTTGGCAAAGTTGTACTCATTCTGTATTAGGATCTCCCTTCTGTCTAGCCTTACTTTATTCAGCAAAAGCTTTTCTTTTCTTTATTTTCCTTATTCAAAGTAGAAAGGGAACTTCTCACTGCATTTTTTAAAGGCAAAAAGAAAAGTCTTTCAAGAATGTCCTTCCAAAAAAAAAAAAAAAAAGAAGAAGAAGAAGAAGAAGAATGTCTTTCCTTTTGACTTGTATGGCATCTTTGTGATTTCCAGTAACTTTTAAAAGCTGTGCCCTGCTGGGGGTGGAGCTCAGTGGTAGAGCACTTGCCTAGCACGCATGAGGCCCTTACCTCGATCCCCAGCACTGAAACCAAAGCCATGCTTGCACTGGAAATGTAAAGATGAATAAAAATGCCTGCCCCTCTAAGAGCTGCACAGGAGCCAGGCAGCATCCTCACACCGAGATATAGTCATCTCCTGGGGGGAGGAACAGAAGAGGGGTTGCCTGTCTGTATCTGAGGGCTCACAGGAAGCCTCCTGAACAAGGCACAACACCCTCAGCTGGGTCTTCAAGTTTTGGCGGAACTGAGTCTTGAACGGGTAGGAACTTTCATTTGCCCTTTGCTTGGGATCTGAACTTTTTCCTTCCTTGGGATTTTGACACCTGCTGGTCCACATTCCCTTGGCCGCGGTGAGAAGGCTCACTGTGGCGCTGGTGCCCCCTAGTGAGGAGACTGCAGAGAGGCCGCTTGCATTGTTTTTATCTCTATTTCCTCTGAACTGTTAAAGAAAGGAGCTGAAGGAGCTGCAGGTACTAAAGCGCATGGGACAGCACCCTGGAGGAAGTTGTCACAGGGACTGTCCATGGCACAGTCATCCTGTTCCCGTCCTGCTTTCGCCCTTCCCCCTCCAGCTCTCTCTGACTCCCTACCCAAGAAAGGTGTCTAACAAGAGTGGTACCTTCACATTTTGCAAGAGGAGGCCAAGCCCTACGGGCAGCATCACTCCAAGTGCACAAAATGGCCCTCTAACCATGGATAGCACTGAAGTGTTTTAAAATAGCTGGAACCTTAGCGGTAAGGTCAACTCTAAAAGCTTAGATTAAACTAGGAGTGGACATGCCCATAATCCTAGCTCTCGGGGAAACTGAGGCAGAAGGACTACAAGTTTAAGCTCAAAGTGGGCGACTTAACACGACCCTGTCTTACAAAAAAGGGTAATCAGGCTGAAGAAGCAGCTCAGTGCCAAGATCCTGGCTTCAATCCCAGTAATTGTGCTAAATAATTCATTTAAGAAAAGGTTGAATTAGCCACTTAAATGGAGCTGGTGTCTGCTCAGGAAGTTTGTGTGGGAAAACTTTGGGGTATCTAGCTGAGGAGTGAGGGAAATACCAAATGTCAGTTTGAAGCCATGTGGTTTGTGCCCGGTGGCATAGTGGAGGCAACACAGGATCCAAACTTAATGGCCTGACTTTCACAGCACACACACACTCACAAACACACACACACACTTGCACATGTACACACATACCCTGGGAAGGTTTGTTGCCTCTCTTATCTTATTTTCCAGTCTCCTAAACAACAGCCACCTGGTTCAATCCTCAAATCAACTCTAGTGTCTTCCTGGGGATCAAAGAGGTTCTATAACTTGCCCAGAGTCCCCTTTTGGTAAGTGATTGAACCAGGTCTGATTCCAAGACTCATGAGCACAGCACTGCCTCAGGTGAGCGAGCACTGGGAGAGACAAGATCAAGAACCACAGTGCTTTATGAGGAATCAGAAGTCCAGTCTGACAGGACAGAGACAGCTTCACAAGGAAGGAAGGTGGGGATGAGCCAAGCAGGTTTGGCAGAAGAAGAGCACCGAGTGTTCCTAAATTTAGATCCCTGGAAAGAAAGTTCCTTTGTAACTTTTTCAGTCCATTAACTTTTCAAACAGTTGTTTAGAGTTAACATTCAGTGTGTGCCTTGCATAGTGCTAGACTGAGGATTCCTGTCTTCTAGGAGTTGCCATCCTGACAGGGAGCCGACTGAACCAAGTCTGCAGTCACTCTGTGCTCAGTGTCTGCCTTTGCTACAACCACGGAACCCACCCAGGGTGGCCAAGTACGCTGAGAGGAACCGAGAAGGCAGGGCAGGGTTTTGCATGATACAACTCAAGCTGTTCTTTGAAAGAGAAGACCAGCCAGGCTGAGACTGATTACAGGCTTCAAAGCAAGAACAGGTTCTCGTTACGAGTCTCATGTACTAACTGATCTTGGGTGCATTGCTTAACCTCTCTTGAGTCTCAGTTTCCCTATGTGTAAAATGGTCAAAATGAAGCCTCATTCACTGAGAGGCTAAGAGCTACCTCTTATGTATAAAATTATTTGTTTTTTTAGGGAAACAGTCACATTATTAATTTTGTTGTGGTTGAGGGAGAGGTAGAAGTGTTCTAAAGGCCACTGAGGGATAGGTTTTGGCTTCCTGGGGGACCCCACATGGTGGAGAATGCAGGGAAAGGTCTCAGGGAGGTGGGGTTGCAAATGCAGACTGGAAGATCAAAAAAGGCCTTAAAGAGATTGAAGAGGACTTCAGAAGATGGCGAGAGGTCCCGTGCTCTTGGGTAGAAAGAACCAATATGTGAAAATGGCCACACTTTCAAAACTGTTACACAGACTTAATGCAACCCCAATCAAAATTCCAACAGCATCTTTCACAATCCTAAAACAATCCTAAAATTCATCTGGAACCAGAAGAGACCTGGAGTAGCGAAGGCAATTCTGGGCAACTAAGGCAAGGCAAGCGGCATCACAATCCCCAACTTCAAATCATACTATAAAGTTCCTATGATAAAAACAGAATGGTACTGAAAAAAAATTAAAAAAAAAAAAAAACAGACCTGAGGATCAATGGAACAGATTAGAAGATGCTGAAACAACTCCACACATACTTAGTCATCGCATCTTTGACAAAGTTCCAAACACATTCACTGGAAGAAAGCCCTCTTTACTAAATGGTGCTAGAAAAACTGGCTCTGCACATGTCAAAGATTAAATTTGAACCCATATCTTTCACCATGCACTAAAATAAATTTGAAATGGATCAAAGATGTAAATACTAAAACAGAAACATTAAATTTGCTGAAAGATAGAATAGATAAAATTCTTGAAGTCATTGGGGTAGGCAAAGACTTTATAAACAAAACCCTTTCATGTAGGAACTATCACAGAGAATCAACAACTGAGATTGCATTTTTAATAACAGCTTTTGCACAGCAAGAGAAACCAATAGTGAAGAGACAACCCACATGGTCGGAAAAATGTTTGCCAGCTGTTCCCTTGACAAAGGATTACTATCGAGAACAAAGAACTTAAGAAAACAAACCTCCCAAATTTAAAGACCCAATCCAAAAATAGGCATCTGAGAAGAATACACACTTCTGAGATGAAGAAATATAAACAGCAAATAGGTATATGAAGAAATGTTCAGCATCACTGATCATTCAAGAAATGCAAATTAAACCAACACTGAGATTCCACCTCACCCCAGAAAGAACGACTATCATCAAAAAATCAACCAACAACAAATGCTGGTGGGGAAAAAGGAATCCTTTTCCACTGTTGGTGGCAGCGTAGATTGGTGCAACCACTGTTTAGATCAATGTGGAGGTTCCTTGAAAAATTAAGTTTAGAGGTCCCATTTGACCCATTTGTTTTCCTTCTAGGTATCTTTCCAGAATAATTAAAAACATCATGCCACAATGATATATGTGTACTCATGTTGATAGCAGCACAATTTTTTTTGGTCTTTTTCGTTTTTTATCGGTACCAGGGATCGAACTCACGACCACCTGCTTGCAAGGCAGGTGCTTATGCCGCTGAGCTAAATCCCCAGGCCCCAGCAGCACAATTTGTAATAGATAGATCTTGGAATCAACCCAAATGCCCATCAACCGAGGAATGGATAAAACAGATGTGTTTTTATAAAATAGAGTACTACTTAGCCATAAAGAAAGACAAACTGTAGACCTTTATAGGTAAATTGGTGCACCTTGAGACCATAGACCATACTCATAAGCAAAATAAATCAGACTGACATGTATAAAATTATATTGTCTCCCTAGTGTGAGAAAGTGAAAAAGTAAATAAGATCCAAAATGTACAAACAGATATTGTGAAGTGGGAAGAAACTGTTCAAAAGAAAAGAAACTCAGCTCAGCAGGATTGGGAAAAGGAGAAAAGAAGGAAGGGAAAAGCAAAACAAAATTACACACACACACACACACACACACACACACACACACACACACACACGATAGTTAAGATAGTGTCTTAGTTACTTTTTACTGATTGCTGAGACAAAATACCTGATGACCAAGTTGAGAAAGGAAAGGTTTATTTCTTACAGTTTTTGGAGGTTTCAGTCCATACTCAGTTGGCTCCAATGCAGGGTGGCATGGTAGGGCTGCAGTTCATGGCTGCTGCAAAACAGCAAGGCAGAAACCAGCAAAAGAGCAAGACACACCTTCTTCCTGCCATTACATCACATCCTGGCTCCACCCAGGATTGGCCACCTAGGCCGATGTAGCATTCACACACCTAATCCAAGCACTAGACAATGAATCAATCACAAATGCATAATGTAAATGCATGAGGCCTGGGGGCCACCAACATAAACCGTGACATTCTACCCCTGGACCCCAGGACTCATGTACATCCTTTATACAAAAGACATTTAGTACATCTCCAAGAGTTGCCAAAGTCCTAATAGTTCTAGCATTGCTGAGAAGTCAAGTCTCCTCCATGATCTATGGCAAACTCTTAACTGTAACCTCCTGTACAAATGAAATGAAAC